GCTGGCTTGCTTGCTGGCTTGCTTGCTGGCTTGCTTGCTGGCTTGCTGGCTGGCCTGCTTGCTTGTTAGCTAGCTAGCTAGCTAGCTTGCTTACTTACTTGCTTGCGTCTCTGCAACGAAAACAACAAGAAAAGCAAATACAAAAAGAGCAAGGAGAACAACTGCCAAAAGAAAAAAAGATAGATAAATAAATAAATATAGGTATAGACAGATAGATGGATAGGCCAAAAAGCCAAAAGCCACAGAAGCCACGAAAGCCAGAAGCCACAGAAGCCAAAAGCCACAAAAGCCAGAAGCCACAGAAGCCAGAAGCCAAAAGCCACGAAAAACAAAATAAATTCCAAAAAAGAAACCAAAAAAAAATCCAAAAATAAATACCCCTCCAATTTCCTTAGGAATTGGCTACCTAGGTCGGCGTGTGGCACCGCATTCACATCAGTACGCATTTCTATAAGTGTGTCCTAGAGAGGTTGACACAAATTCCTGAGCTGCACACCCCGGGGACAGCTCTCCGACGCTGGGCTCGATCTCCAACTCGTGGTCGAAGCGGAAGAGCTTCCGTGCATCCCACCTGGCGAGGCCCGTGAGGCGAGGTCCGACGCACGAGGCCCGTGAGCGGCGCCTAAAGCTGAGGACAAAGTCGGAGGTGTAGTTCACCAGCACAAGCCTCACCAGAGGTGGAGCTGTTTATTTCCTGTTCTTTTGAGAGTCCTCCAAAGTCTAAACAACCTCCAGAGTTCTTTTTTGCAGTACCAAGCCACATCTCAGAGTGACGAGCTCGAAGTGGCACTGCTTTGAAGTCAAGGATCTCGATCTTGGCCACTGGGGCATTGCAGCATCAAACAAGGTCGAGGTGGTCAAGTGTCAAACAAGGCCTCCCTTCATTTTGGGACGTTGCACCAGAACCCTCTAAGTCTGTGAGTGTGAACCCTGCAGAAATTGAAGGCCCTGCTGTAGCAAACTCCAAAAGAAGCGTCTAAAGTCTCAAGTGTCAGCCGCAGGTTCCCTGATCCGGTTTTCATGTGCTCCATTATCCACGCCTCTGCTCGCGAATATCAAGTTCCAGTTATGTAACCCATCAGTGGCAGTCCAGGGGAAAACAGTCTGTCAAGTACGCTAGTGAAGTGGCAAAGTCTAGGAACAGTTTTGTGCATGAATTGATCTATTGGACGGCCAACCAAACCCAACAGCACACTGCAATGTATGCCATCGAATCAAATACAGCAAGCACTGATTTAACACATCGTGAAAAATGCTTCCCTGATTGGAAGCTGAAGTCCAGATCTCACATACACAAGCTGAGAGGAGATCCGATAAAGCCGCTCCATATCCCGGTACTGGCCTGACAAACACGTAATGCGCCATGGAGAATCCCACCAACTTGTGATCGTAGAACCAGGTATTGTACCAGGTACGGGCACAGCAGACACTGGTGACACTCAGCCAACCTCTTGTGACATGACTGACGTGGCAATTGAGTCAGCAGTTCACGGTTGATCACAACTGAGGGATACTGGGAAGTCTTACTCGGGAACCATTCCAAATGCGGTTGAGATATTCTGAGCTGAGCTTGTCACGCATAAGTCTGAATCGGAAGGTTTGCTGGAAACTGAGCTTCCACCTGCAGCGCTGCTCAGCAACATTACAACGAAACGGTTCAATGAGATTTCCTGATGCGATACATCGTCAAACCGCTCCAGGGGTGTCCTAACACTCCCTGCCTCCGGAGGAGAGTCGCCTGGCATGTAGCCATCAGCCTGGGGCGCGAACAAGGCCGCGCGCAAGAGCCGGCGCACCACCTTCGTCGTCCGGCTCGCCTGGATATCAAAGCAGAGCTCTTCAGAAGGTCGTCCATCCTGTGGAAATAGCGGCGCTCTTTGGTCGAGCCAAGCTGCTGGGCGTCCTTGCTCCTAGTAGCGATGCCCTTTGTTCCTAGTAGCGTCCTTGCTCCTAGTAGTACGACCAGGAGCCCCTAGTAGCTTCTTGTTCCTAGTATATTTCACAAGCGGTCTTGAGGAAGTTCTGGTTAGATCGAGTTGGGGCGAGCGGGGCACATTCCGCCTTCAGCATTTCCAAGCGCACTGGACAAGTGTATCTTTTTGCCTGTGAGCAAATAACGAGCATGTCCAAAATTCAGGTGAAGAAGGAGTGGAAACGAGCATTCTATGTATCATCTTTGTTGGGGTGACGTGCCTCCAGCGGCCTAAAGGTGAAGTGCAGAAAGGTCGAACTTTGTGGGTCGAGCGTTCCTTCCAAAGGCTTTACCGACAGGACCTGCCAAAACCAACAAGAGCTAGATGATTGAAAAGCGCCAAAAGCAAGTGAGATACAGGCTACTGGCCTACCTCGAAATTGTGATTCTGCGCGTTGTACGAGGATAGTGTTGAGAGGTCAACTCCTCACAGATTGCGCCAACGAACTGGACTCTGAGTCCACTGTGCGAGCTGTAGTTCTATCTCCAAGTGAGCCATTCTTGAACTAGGCTTTCTATGGCTTTCTTACTTCAGTTATCGCAGGTCTCACCAGTCTCAGACTCCCACGCCACGGTGCAGCCACTCCACCACTGTTGGTGAGCTCTACTGCTTGGACCACACCCTGCTCTCCTGCCGACATGAAACAACATGAAACGACTCAGTCATGTCATGTGGTTTTGTTTCTTGTGCCCATCGTCCTATGGAGGTTTACCTTCAAGGCTTATAAATATTCATTGGTGCTCTTAGTATGTCTTGGAAGCACTTCTTCTAGTAGGGCAAGTGTTCACAGTTGTGTATTTGATCAAGTAAAGAAAACCAACACAGTGCTAACTATAGAGGCTCCCCATGCGCGCCGCTGCTCCTAAGGGTACCGGCTGAAGGGTCAAAACGGATGACCGGACAGAGAGGCATCCCACCTGGCAAAACACACCTGAGACCTTTTGACTTGCCACAAAGCTCTTTATCAAGACCGAAGGCAAACAAAAGCATGGCTGATCTACCACAGGTGCCACGCTGTGTCCCTTGAGGTAGAACAGCACAGAGCGGCCATCGTGCACCTCGCTTTAATGGCTTCTAAAACAGCCAAGAACAAATTCATCCTTGAGACTGGCAGGGTATGAAACCCTCTCATTGACCATGACCTTCAGGAGCAATGGAAGGGCCACATCGGCTTGCTTGCTGATGTTGATCCCTTTTCAAAACGCCGCTCGCAGCTCACCCTTCGGCTTTTTGAGCGCGGCACATTGAAGACCACAGGTAGGATATGCGTGCCAATACTGTGGTGGTGATAGGTCAACTTGACCTGACGCCCAGTCCAGGTTCCGCAGTTTCCAAAGGCATACATGTAGTACAAAATACTGTCACAATTCATATTGCATATCCAAGAAGTGTGTTCACTCTGAAAGGAAAGCCGTTCACTTCGTTCGGGAGCCAACCAAACATCCATGGAGTTCGCACATGTTTCTTCGTTCCAAGCTCCTCGCATGCAAGAAGTCTCCAGGGGCAATTGCGCCCGTTCTGGGTTGGATGTCATAAACACCATGCTCCTCCACCTGGGCAAGGCCAGTTCTCTTCGCTGGTGACCGGTTTTTGTTTGGAAACTGGGTAAGAAGCAGAGATCGGATTCTTTTGCGAGTGGCAACCGTTCTCAGGGCTGAACCCAAGTAAAATGTGCTTCACGCTCATCAACCAATGCCTTCTCATCACACCTCAAAGGTGCATCAAGTGCTCAGTATGCTGATAGTGACTCTAAGCAGTGCTTGGGCAAGGACCAGTATGGCACATTCTCCAAATTCAGATTCTCGGGCGTTTGGAATGAGAACCTTGGATATATTAGATAGTTGCTTCACAATATCAAAAGTGCCGTTCGCAGTCTTGGGCTTTTCAAGAAATCCCAATCTGCGCTGGCCTGATCGGCAAATATCCAGGGTTTGACAAAGCCAGGTACACCACAGTCGCACCTTGAAACACAGTGTCGCTGCTCGCCATCCCAGCAGCTCTGGTGCTTGACATGCCAAACGCAAAGAGTTTCTCTCGGTGCTTGACTGGACTCAACGGCAGAAGTTCCAAAAAGAAGCTGAAAGGGCTTGAGCTGCCTGCAAATTTCAGGTTGTTGTTGTGGGGTCCAGAGGGGTAAGTGCGGCAAGTGCTTCTTCAGCTGCGAATGGCTCTGACAACCGTTCAGTCGAAAGTGTAGTCGTACACTCAGAAAACAGAGAGTGTAGTCGTACACTCAGAAAACATACTTTTGGTGCAGCAGGCGCCTGACAAGGCGCTTCTTCTCATCAATTCCGATGGCATTCTGCGGCGCCGATGGATGAAGTCAAGCCAATGCACAGCCAAACAATGGAGAGAACATCTGAGACATATGCACAGCATACTATATAACACTATATTAAAGAATCTGCAAAGTAGGAAAAAAGTGATGGAAAAAAAGTATATGTAAATGGTAGGAGTCAAGAGCTTTCTTTTGTTCTTCTCTTTTGCCCTTTATCGAAGAATCTGCACATCGCACCTGGAACTTGCGCTCAACGTCTACAACTTCGCCCTGGTACAGGTCGTTGATGCCATCTACCTGTGGAGTCAGCACTAACGCTTTGTGCAAGGCTGACGAATGCGCCGAAATGTGCGTTCGATGAGAGGCCTGGAATTGAGTCCACATCATCGACTGAGGCTGCAGAGTGGCTGACCTCAACCGTTTCGATCCTTTCGGACTCTTCAGCCCAACTCAAGTTGTCCCCTTTGTTTGGCGGCCGTAGAGGGAGGTAGTAGCTATATAGAGGTAGCTAGTAGGAGCTACAAGAACGCTACTACCTAGGACGCAGGATAGCTCACGCTAATGATTTGGTTCCTAGATGTTCAGGAAAACTTAACTCGTGAAGAGACACAAGTGTACATACTTTATCATACTTTATCATACTTTGCTACCTAGGATATAGGATTCTGGTCTTGGGTAGCTAGGTAGTTGTATTAATTAAGTAGGTGCCCATTCAAGTAAGTAAGGACGCAGGATAGCTCACGGGCTCCTAGGTTTCTAGGAAAAAAGAAAAATGGTCACCCATCACTCAAGCTGTCAGTGTCTTGCTCAAAAAAGATTGTCGAACTGGACTCGGACTCAGTTCGAAGGTCCGCGATCTGCACGTAAGGATATTGCGCCAACGCGGACTGGCATGGTGAAGGGTGAAAGAGTCAACTTCAACGGTCAAAGAGTCAAAGTCGTAAATCAAAATCCCAAGGCTGATTGATCTCTTGCTGTAATTAGTTTTATCGTCCTTGGGGCTTCAATTGGCAGCTAATTCTCCAGCATTGTCAATGGAGTGCAGGGATCACCAGTGTGAAAGTGACACTCTTTCCACTGGGCTCGTCTGATCCTTCGCCTTTCGGAGTAACGGCCACCTTGCAGCAACGTCATGACTTAAAAAGCCGCAAGAGACTGAGACTGAGAGTGCCGTCTCTTTCGGATGACCGCACGTGGTTCTCCTGGCCCTTAGGCCTTAGGTGTGACGTGTCCGAGACGTACTCGAGACGTGTCCGAGACGTGCCTCATACACGTATTCTCCACGACCTCAGAGCTGCATTTATCCCGTTTAAGCCCTGCTTCAGATTGCCTGAGGTGCCAACAGGGCGGATGGAAGGTGATGTCAAGAGTAGTAGTGCATCTACCTGGACCAAACAGGAGAAAAGTCCATCGCACTAAGCCACAATGGCACCATGAGGCCTGCGACTGAGCCCACGGTGTGCCCGACTACCAACGCTTCGTCCTGAGTTTCGTCAACATGATCCTGATCAAGAAAGGTTAATTATTAGGGGGTTCAAGGTATCTAAAAGAATAGAATCTTAGACCAATGCAGTGTTCCAAGTTCCAAAGGAAAAAGATTGCTTGATCTGGCAACCTGGGGCCATGGCTGCTGAATTTGCGGCAGCTGGATCCCTGATACCAGAAACTGGAACGGGAGTACATCCCATGCAACCTCTTCAACTCACAAAAATATGATCGTACTGCCCCCGATTGTTCCCCTTTGTCTGACCATGGAAACCGGATATTCAGGCGCTCGCTTGCCAACAAACTGAGTGGAAACCTCATACCGGACCTGGCCAGCATTATGATGCAGAAGTCTTGAAAAAGAAACAAGAGTTGGATGTTGTAAGTACCTGCTGCGAGACAGAACCGCATCTGCTGTCCACTGTCCACTTTGCTTTCTCAGCTTCTCACTGTGAGCTGAGATGAGTTGAGGATAACCACCTGCTGGGAGAGCATCTGGGTCAAGTTTGGAAGTGAACTAGAAAGCCATGGCTCAACAACAAGCTGGACCTGAGCTTTCAAAACAGGGAAGCTCATGGTTGGAAACTACTGTTGTCCACAAAGGCGTTCTCGTCGTCTCACTGTCCGATGTCCAACACGAGGTTTCACCACACGTCCTCCTGTCGATCTGCCTGCCGCTGAAGAGTCTCGCATGCCTTCACGGCACCCAAGTCAAGGCCATCGGGTTCCAAGGACAATGCGGGACCTGAAAGGTGCGAGACATGACGTGCCCAGGGCCCCAGGGGGCCCCGGGGCCCAGCAAGTTCAGGCACCAGGAATAACCGAATAACCAGAGGTGCCCAGCTCCACTACAACCCACCTGACCTGAGTTCTATTTTCCTTTCTGTTTGTTCCTGTGGAGATAACACAAAGCTTACGCAACTGCTTGCGCCACGTGAAAGGTAACTTCCGCTGAGTTTGCACGACATTAGTTTCCGAGCGTGTCTTTAAGGTTCGCTTCCACACGCAGGTTATGTAGCATCATGCACTATCTATATTGGTTATATAATTACATATATTATGTACCTATAATATATCCTTGCGCACAAAAAGTGCTTCCGCAGAGCTTCGGCAGCGCAACTGCAAAGGGTGCAAAGAACAGGCATGACCAAACCTTCTAAGGTTCCACTTTCGCTTTCAGACCTACTACTGTGTGCACCCTGCAAGGTTCAGCTCATCAGTTTTCCTGCGCAACCGCATCGCCCTGAGAGCGAGTGGCAACAGGTTGATTCAGGGCTCAAGGAGCTATTCCAATGAGCCAATTTTGCTGAAATTGGAACCACACACAGCTGTGACTTGCAGATGTCAAAAGCAAATCACAGGATTCTTTGGGTCGAGTGGAGGGATTCGAGCATAATGGCCCCTGGCTTCATCCGTTTCCGTTCCAAAGAAAACTTCAACAGTTCCAAAGGTGACTTGCCTTCTGCTTTCCGAAGGAAGTGGTGGCGGGTCATCGTCGGTGGCACCCACAGGCAACATCATCGGAGGCTCCCCGAATGGGAGATTCCAAGGAGGCTGCTCCGCTGGCGAAGCAACGAGCAGCTGTCTCTCCTTCTTCTGACGTTGACTTTGCACATCATTCGTCATGCCACGCTGCGCCCCATGAGCACCCAGCAAGTTTCGGCACTGCAGCCATGGCTGCCATTCCATCCCCCGAAGGCGCATCTCCACCTGCCAGTACTCTGCCTCATCTAATGGCGTGATGCCATACTTGTCTGCTGCATTGAGATCAAAGCCCAGCTCTAGGAGGCACCGCAACACCTCAACCGAGCCCGCCTTTGCTGCTTCGTGGAGTGCAGTCTTCTGTGACTTATCTCGAAAGGCATTCTGACTAGATGCCCCCTCTGCCACTGCTCTCCTGACTCCTTCCAGGTTTCCCTCTGCAGCTGCCGTCTTGAGTCTTTTTTCTGGAACCCCTCGGTACTGTCTCGTCGTAGCAAGCACCATATGTCTGGGCGAGGCAAAAGACCGGGACTTGGCGAAACAGCACGCAGGTCTAGTGGAGACTGGAAGGTCTGAGTCTTGAGGCAGAGTGGCTGACAAATCCGTGTCACAAGATGTTCTAGTTTCTTTCTTTGGAGGACCAAGTGCTCTTTGCTCTCTGGAGAGAGTTCTATGATTGCTTGACACCACTTTGATGACTAAGCACCAAATGAACTCAACAAGCTTACGGCATCAGGCCCACCTTTCCCATGTCCAACCAGCTGCAGCACATAGGACTGGCAGCATGACAGGTCGTGTCATTCTTCAGTCCTCGTCCTCAACTAGGCAAATGTAGAACAGCAAGCGCTTTTTCCACAGGTCAGGAATGCCGGCTGATCATCATGTGAGGTAGAGGCATCTACAAGAGCCTCGGCAACGGCGGCACCACAGCCGATCGACTGAACAGGTCGACTGAGAGGTCAGAGCTCGCAATGGACCTGCCACGATGTTATCAGGATCCTGCCAGATCACAGAGGTCAGAGAGGGCCCAGAGGGCTCAGAAGGCTTGAACTTGACTATCCCGGACTATCCCTTCCTGCTTGAATGAAGAATGCTTAAGAATGGGTCATGGACTCACCACACGAGGTATCAAGTTCTCATTCTGCGACTCAAACATCCCTGCCCTCCTTTAAACACTGCGTAGCACAGTACATTGGAGAAGAGAATACTCGCCTAAGTGCTGGTCCAAGAAAGGCTGATAGATTGAAAGCGTGGTAGGAATAAGTTGTAGCACCTCTACCAATCCTCCACTAAGGTGGAACTCACAAGTCTGAGTGCCCCAGAACATCTGTCTTTGAAAGCTTTCACAAGGACCAAGCAAGCTTGCTGGAATAAGCCACAGGCTCACTGGAAGGGCAAAAATTTGCCACTATGCTCGTGGATTCGGACGGTGCCAGCCTCGGATGGGGCATCCAGGGCGCCAGGGTCACCCCCATCTGTACAGAGGGGAGGTCTGGGCGTCTGACTGGCCAGCAGGTTCCGTGAACCTCGAAAGACCGGGTGACGGACTGGTGACGGATACCCGTTTGTGTTTGAGAGTTTGAGATACGGTTGGTACAATAAGTTATGATGATACCAACTTATTGTGGTATTTATTGTTACTGGTTGGTACCAACTGACATGGTTGGTACATTGTCAGCCTCCACAATCAGTTCATGCAAGTTTGGCATGCTTAGCATGCCCCTCAGCGATCCAGTCCAAACTCCAAAGACACTACAGCTCCACCCTGCAGGGAAGGCACCAAAAGGTGGAGCGGAAACGGCTCGGAATTCGACATTCATACCTGGCAAAAATAGGCAGATCTTCAGGTCAGCAAGGAACCAGCGTTCTGTTTCACCAGAAGGCATGACGGAAAGGCTTTTTGACCTGTTGAATTCCAAGCTAGAACCAAAGTAGGTGGAGTATGAACATAAACAACAGCGTGACACCTTCGTGCACATAAACCATAAAACAAGCTGTTGGGAATTCAAGTATATGGCATATGGCATATATGGCTAGAGACCGCCAAGCGCAAACAATGGAACGCATCAGCTGAAGTGTGTGCACCACCACATAAGAAACATTGAACACCTCTCACATGCTGGGCTCACGAGATAGGAATCTCGGACACGTTCTTCACTGAGCAGACCTTGCTGTTGCGTGGCCAACAATCTGTGCTATAGCGTCAAAGGGATATTTTGGCTGCCGACCATTGTGGAAGCAATGCCAGAGCACCTTACAACAATAATCGTACATGCTGTAAAGTCAGAAACAAACACTTTCTGTGGTCAGGATCGTGTCAAGGCTCTTGCAAAAAGAAATGAACATGATTGCGAAGAGCGTCACAAGCAAGACACTAACAAACTCCGACATTTCATACCTACTACTCAACAGAACATCAATTTACTGAGCGAAATGGTCCGCTCTACATCCGCTTGCCGACGCCAATCTAAACAGTCGCCGAAAACAAAGCAGGAAACATGGTCCGGTCCGCTTGGTGGCGCACGTGGGCGGAAAGGTCACGCTCATCTGGCCGCTGCAAAATGACAGTTGCGGCTTCCAAGCCTCAGTAAGTTGCCATCAACTTGTTTCTTCTTCAATAGAGGAAAAATCACCTAGATCACTTTGGTTTAAGCAGAAATCATCACCATAGCAGTAGGGAAAAGGAACAGGTCTTGGAGCTCACAATGCCACATCGCACAAGATCTAGCCGCTGGCCAAAGCTGGGCTGGCCACTCTTCCAGATACTCGAATGGTCTTGGGTCCACTTTCAAAGTAATCTGCCACCTCAGCGTCACGAAGTTCTACCAAGTTCTTCCACCGAACCTGCGAGCAGACTTGCGAAGAACGACTTGGGCCCCAACGACTTGGAAGTTTGCAACATACGGTACATCGTTCTTCGCCACCTAAGTCAAGGAAGCATATAAGCATAGACTCACACACACAGTTTGATTTATTAGCACTAGGACAATTCAATGCGAATTATTCAATCTCTGGCAACTGTTGGAAGATTTTGATCATCACAGCTGCAAAGGCTCGTGCAGTTGGTGCAAACTCCAAAACAATCAAATGAAACCTCAGGAAAAGTTCTCTCTCGAATCAGCCTCCAGTTCTTAGGTTCTCAGTAGGACTTATCGTGACCGTGACCATAGCATGCACAAGTTGTTTAATGAAGCTCCTAGCAAATCTTTGCTCAAGCTTCGGTTCAACGAAGCAGCAAATAATGGTTTCAGCAAGTCAATGTGCCAACTGGGCAAATCACTGGTGAGGATGAATGATTCCCTGCGTTGGCCAAGCGCGGAAAGGTGCCTGCGATTTGCTCAAACAAACTTCAGTTCTATTAAATTTGCCGGGCAAATCTTGGAGACATCTGGAAACAAAGATGTTGCCAGAACCAACAAGAGAATCAACCCCGAATGGACCTTTTTCGGACCATGCCTACAAATGGGTATAGGTTGAAGCCAGCAGACCCGAGTCAAGACGTAAAGTTGAGCAACAAGGGAGATGTCAACCTAGCTTTGGGATTCGAGGTTTTGGCCCATTCTGGATTTGTCATCTCACCTCTCCAGCAAGATCCTCAAAGTTGCCAGAATCTCCATCACCTCACAGAACGGCTCAGAAGCCAGGCCAATCCAGTTCAAATCCAGGAGTGCCCACCTTTACTGATGTCCACTGCAGGGAGTATCTGATAGCTCAACGGCATGTCTCCAGGATTTGTCATCATCACCACCTGATACCTGTCATCGCATTGTGGCTCTGAACAATGCTGAATCTGATATTGCCAGCAGGCGCACGTCCGCTCACCAGGAGGACAAGATTTGAATCTGACATTTGTCCTTAAGCTCCGTGATTGAATTTGAATAAATCCAAAATGGTTGTTGTCAGATTGCAGGCTTGCACAGCCTGGGTGGTGCTTACAAAAACATGATTTCATACTAGTGATCCGGTTGCTGAGGAAGGAGCTCTGAAATATCCACCTGGGTGTCCGTTCTGGCAGCCATCGTGTGCCCCATCCTAACAAAACATTCGCATCCACAACGGCTGCGCAAAAGGATGTGAGGTGAAACCCCTGGTTTCCACTCAGCAGCAGGCCCTCTAAGTGCAATGGTCCATGGCGGTGTAAACCTGCGAGAATTCCAATGCCAGGTGTTGATCGATGCTAAAAAGCACCATGGCCTTTGCAAATCAACGAGTCTAAAAGTTCGGTTGATCTTCTGTGCCACCACCACTTCCAACAACTCTCCCTGGCAATGCGATTCAGCTTCAGGTCAAAATGCAAGCTGGGTTTCCATCAAGTGTCTGCCCTGTGTTCTGAAGTCCGTTTAGCACCAGTTATTAAAAAATCAGTCCATCTGCCCTGACTAGACTAAGAGCGAGACTTCCACAGTGTTCGAACCTCAGATGCTTTGGAACTGCTGTGCTCAGTCAAGTCCGAAAAGTTTCTCCACGTTCATTGCCATATTGCTGCTCAAGCAATGCCGCTGCAAACGCGCAGTCGCAGTCTTCTTCATGACATATGAAAGAGTGCCACTGGGTGCATTGAAGTGGCTCTGTGGTCGAAAAGTTACCTGAAAATCCATTTGCCCTTTTGGCCTTGGTAAGAGGACAACACAAAGGTGCTCCAACACTACATTCAGCATGCTTTTTGTCGAGGTCTGTCAATCATCGGCTTTGTCCATAGCATGAACTCACATTGAGAATGCAGCAGCATATGAGACTTGGTGGGAGCTTGGGTTCGTGCCTGATGTCACATGTCGGTGGATAGACCTCATGGGGACTTGCAGGACAAAGCACTTCCAACTTCCCGTGCAACAGTCGTTTTGTGGCGCTTGCTGTGCACACTGAGAAAACAGAGACACTGGCCGAGAACAAGGACTTTTCATCTGGGACGCATGGAAGGCGCCTTGATGCACAGAAGCCACAGAACCTTTCTTGGCACAGCTCATCCGAAATCTTGCAAGCTGGTCCAAGTGAGGTCCCCGACGTCTCCCCAGCAATCATCCAAAGCACAGTAACCTGCAAAGGAAAGGACACTCAGACTCAGCTGCTGTATCTCTTCAGCACATCAGTGTGCGACTCTTGGCTTGGGGAGAACCACATTGTTGCTGAGCACCGCTGGATTGGCTCCAGCCTTTTGAGAGGTGCGATTGGTGATAGTCACTGTCTGCTTCTCCGAGGTGGACATCACCTCAGGTAGTCAACCAAAGCAGGCGAAAGGACTCCAGCTGTGGGCTGGAAGACACGATGATCAAGGTGTGGGAACAGCAAGTTTACAAGTAGAACCTGCTCTGTGGACAGCACGGAATTTTGCCCGAAGTCAAGATTTGCTGGGCTGATGGTAATGTCCTGCAGGGAGCAAAAGTGAAAGTGGACAGCCTGCACTCCTTTTATGTTGTCTTACTCTGGCACTCTGATGTTTCCAAAGGAAAGTAAAAGGGAACGAGACCTTGACAAAAGCTGCATTCATCTCGTTCTTCGCTCTACAAAACAAACTCACCCATCTCTCCCTCAGCTTCGAGTCGGTGGGCAACATCAAGTCCTGCGCTCGTGCGACGGACGCGGACTCGATTGGCCAACCCCGTGGTTGCATCTGGTCACCTGCGTCTCGATTGCATTCATTGCTGCAAAGCATTGTGGGACATTGTATGTCAAGTGCATTGCATCTACAATCGGAGGCTTCCTTGGTGGACTCAAGGGTTAACCCTTTGCTTGACATGTCTCCCGACTGCACAAAGCTGCAGCTAGCAAAGACGCCCGTCCAGGAAAGCTGCTGTAGCTGACAGTGGCTTCACTTCAACCTGCACAAAGCTATGGACCACCAGGGAGGTCAACCTGATTCACGGCTACTGGAGCAGGTGTGAGGATGATCTACAAACCCGTTGCTCTGGGAGCAGGTGTGGTAGATACCTATATATGTACCAAAACGAGGCAATATGCAAGACATTGCAGAGACATCAAACACGCGGAGTGGAAGTTCAATGGAATTGATAAGTTCGAGTGACGAAAGCGTATCCGATGGTTCCAAGTATGCTCACTGTGGGATCAAAATTGTTACAATGGGTCGTTTTGCTCGAAAATACCTAGGAACTATATCTTGGAGCTCCATTCCTGTTCTTGATTTTGATCCACATCAACCGTCAGAGGCATCATCTCCAAACGGCTATATATATATATATGTTCAAATGTTGAGCTGGCTCCCTAGAGAAACAAAGACTTTCCGATGCAATAAGCAGTCACGACTGTCTTGGTGAACTACTTCACACAAGCTTGACCGACTATGCACAAACGCTTGAAGGGTTGTTACAAAGTGCTTCAGAAGAATGATAGCAGTACTCTAAAGATCATAGGATACAATAGTAGGGTCAGGCCCTGTTGTTATACCAAACCTCCGGTGCAGCAGGATCCAACTCTTCTTGTGGAAGCTCATCATCCAGAGAATTTGCCTCCACAAGCCCAGCACCAAAACCAAGCAAGTAAGCAACTCTCTTGAAGACCTAGGCCCTGTCGGGCCCTGTCCATGCAGTCCCCACCTCAGGAGCTGTTTCCACCAGCTGATGCTCGCGAACCTTACCGCAATACATGCGTATCCGAGCCTTTGTTTCTATATTCTCTCACAGAATTCTTTGGTGTCCAAGCTTTGTCTTTGCGCATATCACCAATCTCCAGGGTCTCAAGAGAATCGTTTAAGATATATATATATATTCTGTGGACAGATTTACACTTTAGTGTCTACGCTTAGTGTGCGGAGCCATCCACGATCTCCTTTCCTGGTCAGATTGATGACGCAAAAATCGTGCAAATTGGCCATGCGCTTTTAGTAATGTATCATGCACACCTTCAAAAAAAACTCGACAAAACAAGAGGTATGGATGTGCAGTGTTGAAAGTACCCTTTTGGGGGTCATCTACTTGAATCTACCTTTGATGACTAGAGGGAGCTGCTCGGTTCATGGTTTGCCATGCAACCCCGAACCTTTCAACTCCGGTCGCTCCAAATGGGCACCCCGACCCCGGACAGCTGCATGTTCCGAAAAAGGTCCACATGGTGCTGCTCAAGCCTGTGCGCAGGACGACGTCTCTCAGGCATGAATCTGCCGCAAACTCTCTGTGAAAGGGGTTTTCATCTTGTGCATGCTTCTTGAACAGTGGGCTGACGATTGGATCAGCTGAAGCCAGGCAGGTATGTGTATAAGTACAAAGTAGAGGGCAAGCGGCAAGCAGGCAGGAAGAGGGAAGCAAGGCTTCATGTTGAAGGGGCAATAGGCCTGACAAAAAGCTTCACATCACATCGCCGAGTGCTCACGATGCAGGGACAAGAAGACGGAGCATCGCTCAGAGTGGGAGCTTCCCAAGCGAATCTTCGGAGAACGCGCCGAAGCCGCAAGCGAGCTTGCTAGTACCTTGATTACCATGATTGTCAGTGTCTGCTCATCAGGTTGAGCCGACATGTTCAAACCCCATGTTATCGCCTTCCCAACGTCTGGCTTCGTCTGGCATGCCGACCGTGTGAGGCTTTGACTCCAAAAGAAGCACGACGGACCGGCTTCGGCCTGGCCGGTCGAACCTTGTCGTTGTGGGCTGACCTCACAAGAGCGAACCGTCGCAAAGTGGAGTGTTGCAAAGGTCTGGGTGCTTCCGGCCCAAGCAAGTCAAGTGTCAATGGCGTGGAAGCACCCTTCACCACACAGGAGACCTCCAAGGGCTGAAGGCTAAGAAGTCGTGTCGTCTCTTGAGTCGTTTGCACACTTGTTCGTTGTTTGTTGAAGAAACATGACTCTGTACTTCTATTTGTGTTTTATGCCACATGTGAAACTGAAACGACGGAGACATCGGGCCCAAAAGTCCCAACCAAGAGCCGACGGCCTTCTTGTGGTAGTTGATCGGAGACATCGGTCCAAAGAAGACCGTCACCACCATGAAAGAATCCGGCGGAATGATGCCCATTGGTCGATCCAGCCAAAACACACCTGTGCCACAAACTGGGCCAAAACAGGGTCCAAGGGGTCTAAAGGGGTCGTCCCAAGTGCAAAGGGCTGCTGGGGAGTCTGTGCAGCCTGGGCACTTGCAACAAGCACTTGCAACAAGGGGCCACGGCACTAGTCCAGTAGTCATCCAAAAAGAGGCCTACAAATAGACTCTAGACGAAAGTGGGTGGGGATGAGCGACATCCCAACTGGACCATGCCTCGCTGGTTGTCCACATTGACAAAATGATATGGTGCTGGTCGATCACTATTGTTTTCCAGCTGCAGCCTTGCACAAGAATTGAGATCTTTTCGGCCGCTCACAGCTGAAGGTGTGAAACTGAGCAGCAGACGTCCTCGATAAGACCCTCCCACTAGGAACTTCACCAAAGTTCATTGACCTGCTGATGAATGCGCAAGCAAGATAAAACAAGTAAATCATCTGCCGAGCAGTTTTTTTCCTGGCATACCATTTTCTCTACAGATAGAAAAAGCAACAAGTTAGGCGCCCTCCTGCACCCTCCTGCCTCGTTGACATGACGACACCAATTGGCTGGCAAAATGCTTTGCATGTGACGACCAAAGGTGTGCCACCAGGCGTGCTGATCTGGAAGCGCTGGCACGCATGTTCCTTGACCGTGTGGGACCTCGAGACGTGAGACACGTGTGGGACGTCGCTTGGCCGTGTGGGACGTCGCTTACACCGAACAGTGGTTGAACCCTAAGGTCCAAGACTGAAAATAGAAGGTCATCGTGAAGGTGCAATTCGGTTCCACCTGTCAACATGAGTGAAACCAATGGCAAACAAACCAAACAGCTTGCAATCCTTTTGTCATTCTTTGGGCCGCAGACCACTCCAGATTCAGGGCTGACCCAAAATGCTGATGGAGGAAGTGGCGCAGTCTGCGAAAAGCACACACTAACAGAATCTTCCCTGCATCTGTGGCAGTAAACAGGCATGCAAATGTAAAGAACAAGTCATGCAACAGCTAGCCGTTCATGTTACCCAAGTTTACTGACTGCTGCCAAGGCCAAGGGCTGGTATTCTTGACAACTGAACCCCCTCACTGCCAACCACAATCCCTAACAAGCTGTATCCTTGTGGCAAACACCTTCAGCTATCCATCTTCAGTCTTCTGCTGAATGCTGGCTCCCATTGGCGCATTTGGCGTTGAATGAATCGCGGATGCTGGTTTGTCGCCTCCAGACTGTCGTGAAGGGCACGCACATGGAACACCGCCCGAACCTGGCATATAAAGTTGACGTACGGATTACGGATTGGATGTGAAACGTGGCCTATCCAGGTGCCGTTTCGTGGTTCACCGTTTCGCTCAGCTGTTCACTGGCGTGGTGTTGAGCAGCTCCAGAGTCTGCGGCACACGCTTGCCAGGTGATACAGCACCAAACCTGACGACAAATGGAGCATCCGAGCAAAAACAAAAGCTCTGGTCGCGTTGCTCTAAGCGTTGGACTCAACTAGTGGAGCTTGACCCCCGGGAACACAAAGATGTGGCCTCAAAGACTCCAAGCACTGCCATATGGTGTCGCACTGCCTGCTGTGTGTGGAAGAAAAACGCTTGATTTGCATCACTTGGTGTGCGACATCTTGCCAACACCGGTACACTGCAAAGCATAGTTCTTCGCCTGTCAGGCAGAATCGAGTGAATTGTGTTTCACTTGTTGTCTATGTGTATATAGTATGTAACCTTGAGCGAATCGTCCGTGACTTAACCAAGGCCATAAAGCTGCACCTCAGGTACTCTTGCGCTGCTCTCTTCATCCTCTTCATCCAGCACAACAGCTGCGCTGCCCACCTAGAGACCAAAACCAGCACCCTGAAGACCCGAAATATCTCTACCATAATTGTCACAGCCCGTCACTGCCTCACATGCAATCAGGCCATCAAAAACAGAAGCGGTCTTTGGCTCGAATTCGACAATACATCGCACCTCAGCAAACAAAGACCATTCGGCAGTGGCTCTTTTGGCTGGCATAGCTAGCAGCTAGCTTTGGCAACTGAGGAGGGCTCTGACTGCCCCACTTCCACAGTTTGAGCTGGACATCTAACCGTGAATGGCGGCCTGCAGATCTGTGTCGCTAAAAGCAGCATGAGAGCACTTCGGCTGCACCATGCCTGGCATGCCACTTCATGGATGCCTTGAGAGTGCCAGTGTTGTAAATATCTATCTGCTGCTGTGAACCTGGGCTCAAGTCGAAACAGATCCATTGCAGCGAGCAACCCAGCAGATCGTTCTAAGTGAGAGACGCTCCATTGTTGGACAAAGGCCAAAATCCAAGAAATGCGGCACAGACAAAGCCACATCCTTCACCACTGCCTGCACGAGGGGAAAACTTGCAAGTTCATGATCACACCACAGGATTTGCCTTGACAATGACGAAAAAGCTTCCTCCCTTTGTGACTATCTGTACTCTGTCCACGTGCCTGGCAAGACCGGCAAGACTGACCACTGCAAAAGTCATATTGGACTGTACAAGAATGCCAGCAGCACGGAACATACTTTGAAGGCCGAAAGCTAATTGGGATGACCTTCTTCATTCCGGGCCTCAACAAATAATTGCCGAGTGATGGGCAAGAATGCTGTCTTCTGAAGTTCAGCCTGTTATATACCTAGGTTACCTATATAAGTGTAGTGTCTTCTGTAAATAGTGTATTTATTGCAACGTGAGATGGTACCAAACTGCAGAGCAACTGCTACCAAAATGTGTACACGGTTTCAGAACTCTGACAGGAAGTATACTCAGATCACAACGCGAGCTTGAAAGGCTCTGGGTATGGCATGTCAAACTCTTTCGTAGGCGGCAACTTGAACTTTACCTGCAGAAGCTGAGTTGGAGAGGCAAGTTGAGCTTTTAAATGTCAAGACCATAAGACCCTGTGACGTACACAAAGGCAAGCTGACCATGACTGGAGGTTCCAGTAAGGCGCCTTTTGCGTCACCAGGGCCACGTTTTGCAGAACGAGGTCTTGGACACTCTCCACACCAGGCGTCCATTCATGCCACATGACCTGGTCGGTGCCCATGCGCCGTGCATCGAGCTTCAGAGCATGTTGTTCGTGTACATATCGACATGCACACTAGCGGTCACTAGCAGTCGCTAGCACCCTGCACATCACCCTTGCAACTGAAATTGCACATGAGAGCACAAATACTGTAACCTGATTATACCTAATCCTATCCTCCTCATTGAATGATCGACCTGCGTTGTCTGGACTTACATATACGCATCACATGGCTGAGTCATAGTAAGAATTGTCTTGGCACGCTTCGTCCAGCACGCCCTCCCATCCACTCGAAGGCCCTTGTAGTGCCTGGTCCTCGCAGTCAATGCCATAGAGCTGCACGCGTTCATCACGTGACAGCTGCCCGTTGTTCCCCAAATGAGGTGCCTCACCCACTCACTGAGTCAATCACTCACTGACTCAATCACTCAGTCATTCACTCACTCACTCACTCAATCACTCATCACAGCGAAACCTCTGCGTTTGCACACCATGTTCATTACGAATCACACAACTACGGTACAAGCTGCATGTGCACTTCTGGTTCAAAGTGGATGGCCAGAAACACTGTGGCACAACACCAATCTCCGCATCGTCTAAGAAATGCACCATTCTTGTGTTGACGTCAGCTGATCACCTGACAGTAGAGAATTGGATGCAAAAAACTATCTCGGCCTTGCCCAGAAACTGAGGGCTGAGACCCTTTGGTGCGTCAGCAATGCGTTCGACATTAGCCCAAACTGTGTACTGGTTTCAATGTTTTTTTCAACCTTTCTCTGCATTGGCTCGGGTCTAAGCAGGAGCTTGGATTCTGCAGGCTGACAATTATATACAGTAGTAGATGATGTGGCTTTAGACTCAGATTGACATGTTTGACACGTTGAAAAATGGTTGTTTTATCTTGAAAAAAAGAAGGTTCCATCTACAAGGATGCACCTGAAGTGGCACCCACTGTCCTTCCCTTGATCCGAAAGCGCGCATCAAACAACCAACCAATTGGTTGTTTTAAAACAGCACAACTGGAATGTAAACAATCGTTTATATATAGAGTGTAGTGTCGAACCAACACAGCCGGCCTATGACAATTGGTGAAGCGTTATGTTCTGAAAACAGCCCGTCACCTGGAACTCAAAGAACAAACTTGGTTGCTGGTCTTCTGGAGCAAGTGATGAACGTTGGGAAGTTTGGACATTGACCTCTTTTTTGTGCGGAAATTTTACAAAACACAGTTTAAATACTTGTTGGATGTACAGGCATCCTTTTTGGAGGGTTTGATGCAGTACAGGTTTGACCTGGATGAGGTATTGTATTTGCTTGGATCGTTGTTCAACCACTCCGACAATCGTTTTCTGCTGATTTCGTCAACATTTACTTGTCCTTTGCACACACCTGGCACATTGAATTGCTTTGCATGCACCTTGGTGGGTGTTGGCTCGTTGAATCTTTTTCAACGAGGCCCAGACCTCTATTTTTACACCTAGTTGCTACCTAGCTGATACACAACTGATGGACATCCACATAATCAGTTATTGCACATCAAAACAAAAAACTGCACAAAATGTTTTTGCGCAAAACAGTTTTTGATTGCAGCACGACTCACGCCACGCAAAATGTCACAAATACGCACTCGAAAACGTCTTTGGAAAATAAACTGTTGTTCGGGTCCCGGGTGGCTCAAAACTTCCACAAAAAAACATTTGCCAGCTTTGCGGGTGAATTGATGTGAACTGCACTTTAAGAGTTCATGGTGTTTTGCTGTCTTGCAGCTTTGCATGTCTGATAATGTAACGCACTTCTGTTTGCGTCTCTCGGGCCATTGGTAAGTACAAATACTGAGAACAGGTTGTGATCCTTTTAGCACCCACATTTTCAGCCTGTATATGTACGCTGTGATACCTCCATGTGCATTCTCAACCATGTATGCTATGCATCTATGATTGGAAACTTGTTCACTGCTGTCACGCTGACTGAATGCACATTGCGCACGGCCTCAAGGCTCTCGCGACCCTAGTCTGAATCTGGCCACAGCTGTAGTGGTGATATCACTGTCCATTGACAGTGGTCAACCACTCCTGCCGCTCTAACGTGAAGCATGCTTGGGCCAGACGATTCGCAACCCAATCGACAGTTTCCCGTCGTACTTTTCCTTTCTCTTCTTCCATAGCTCGGCAGCACTCTTGGCTCGTTCCACGTCTTCCTTCAGACGCTCAAACTCCTGTTCCTTTTCACTTAGATGCTGCCATCATTTCCTTCTCTTTCAACAGCTGCACGTACTGCTCTCTCAGTACATCTCGTTCACCACGTAGATCAACATTCTTGCCTTGATGATCCGGTGATTGCTGCGTCCACATGTCTCTCTCTTCTTTCAACTCCTTCACTCCTTCTTATTGTTCTGCGTAGGCTGCCTCAAGCTGAATGATTTTCCACTGCATTTCCACTTTCTCGTGGTCACTCTCATACTCAGCTTCTGACGGTTGTGATGGTGCACCTGCCTTTGCCTGCTTCCAGTTCATCAGCTGTCTCACTTCCTTGAATCCCCACCGTGCCAAGCTCAATGTTCCAACAGCTGAAAGAACCACCACTGTGAAAAATGCACGCGTCCATCGCAACTCATCTCCATTCTCTGCACTGACTGCTGCCTTTGTTGCGTTGACGCCCACTGCGCTGATCTCCTTTATCTCATGCCCTTGGCTGCTTTGCAACAATGCCATTGCAATGATCATAGCAACTTTTGCATTGCCACCCAAAGCCTTTGACACCGTTCCAACATTCTTATTCATATCTTCTTTCGTCTTGATCTCTTCATACTCTTCACGGCCGATCTTCTCATCATCTCCGTCGATCGATTGATCAGGAATTTCAAGCCCTTTGTTCTGGCTTTGCTGAGAAGCTTGGCGTCGATGTCGCTTGTGCTGGCTGAAGTTGGGATTCCGGTCACTCTCAGTTCTTTCTCATTAACCTTCTGCTGTAGCCATAGCAAACCTGCTGCACATTGCCTTATACAACCCACGCCAACACGCCCTGCTAAGGATCTAGCTGCTGAAGAGTCACTGCGGCATACCATGTCGACGCCCTCCTCATTGCCAACAGTCTTTGATGAACAAACCTTCACTGCAGCCTCCAACCATAGCCACATACTCACTCTCACCTGATGAGAGGGCGATGGATCGTTGGCACCTCACATAGCTCTCCATCAGACAACCATTCAAGTAAATCTGAACCGAGCTCACTGATCCACGTGTTTCACGCTGTCCAGCGTAGTCAGCATCACAGATAGATTCCAACAAGTGATTGCTGCCACCATCACTCCACTCATAGACATCTTCTGTAGTTTTCAACACACTCTTGCCGCGCTGTCCATGTTCCAGCAACAATCCTTTTTGCATTGTTCCCAGGAGAAACGAGCTGACATGCTGCATTGCTTGCCATCCCATCTTTGTTAGCCGCTGCATCGATGAAGCTTAGCCCTGAGCCACACAAACTGAACATCTGGGCGGTCAGTTGCAATGTACAAAAGTTTCCCCACTGCATTCCGGTATTGGGTCACCTGGTCTGCTGGCATAGGTTCATCGTCCTTCTTCAACTTCGTGAAATTGCCATCTCCAGGCGTCGTCCTTGGTTTTCTTCCTTCAACCTTTGTCACTTGGGCTAACTCCTTGATATGCTCGTGATCTGGCCTGATCGTCACTCCATTCTCGACAATCTCCATGTTCCCCTTGAGGTACTGAAATGGCCTTGCATACAATGGTCCACGCTTCTCAATCTTCCACGACTTGTTCTCCATGAACTTGAGGAAGCGCAACAAGCAAGTCATCAATGTGGGTGGTCAAATAAAGACCCCTCTTGCTCTTGCCTTCTCCAGGTTTTGCTGACCTCATCATTGTTGGCTGCATGACATCTTGCTCAAGCCCCAATTCTCGAGCCACAGCGCAAAACCCTTTGGCTGGACAAGACGAAAAAGCCTTTTGGTTTGGTTTGGAGAGCAAATTGGTTTTCGCATTTTTGGGGGGCACATCTTGAGTTGGTGCGTGTGCCTGAAGATTGGGACATGCAGTTTCTATGCAAAAACGACTGTCCACACGAGAAACAACTCTTTCAATTTGTCAAGCGTCTCAAATCTTGCATGACGACTCTTCCGCTGCAGTCGGCCCGAAACTTTCATCATTTTCCTCTTTTTCAAAGAAAAAAGTGTGGACAGCCTTGAACACAAAAAAGGACGTTTCATCAACGACAACGTTCACTTGCTCAGCTGGAAGGGGTGTGTTTGCAGTTCACATTGAAAACGTTTTGCCACAACCCAGCGTTGACTCAATTTGTTTCTGGAACTTGCAGTTCGGATCAATTGGGGAACTCAATCTTGACTTAGATCATTGTTCAAGTTGAGGTTGGTGCGCTTCTTCGAGCAGTGTTCACCCGGGTTGCAGTTGAATCAACCACAATTCAACTTTTTGGCAAAACAGAACTGAACTGGAGACCCCGTGACAGATGGAGCTGCACCAGAAAAAAACAGAAACTTTATCTCTAAAATGCAACACCGCGCATTTTTGCCGAATGGTCTCTTCATTTTTTCGTTGATAGAAAAGTTCAATGACGCGCCAAAGAGAGGTTGATGATGAAGCACTGCAAACGAGCCCAAACATTGAACAAAATTCAATAGAAGGCGATGATGTGCCGGGCAAGAAGATGCTGCAGCTGGAGGATGAAGGCATCGAGAGAAGATCAAGGAGAGACCACCGGAAGTGTTAGAGGAAGAATTGAGAGCTTGAACTGCAGGCGTGCAAAGTTGAGGAAGAGCCCCTGGGCGTGTTGGAGAAGCTCAAAAGGAGGAGAAGCAAATGAAGAAGGCTCATGGGGGCTTGCTTCCAAGATGGTGATCGCATGGAAGCACAGAGATGAGGGAGGTTGGTTTCGACGAACGCGACTGGTGGGCCGGCAGTTTGGTTTCGTAATGTATGTTGTCAATGTGTTATGCAGACTTGGCATCCCTAAGAACCACGTGTTTCTGCAAGCAAATGCGCTAGATTGATGGTTTTGCAAAATTGCGCAACGCGTGGGATGCCTATTATCAAAGAGGACAGGTCAAGCTGTCTTCCGTTGAGGAGGCGCCAATGCATTTACAGTAAGCTCTGGGGAATACCAATTTCATGGTGAGCCATCATGCAAACAGTCCCAAAAATGAACCGAAAACCTGTGAACAACAGAAACATTGAATTGAGAGTGCCCAAGGTCATTTGCTTTGTGGTATGCATGTGACATCGCATTGGCGCATGACCAAGGAGACCGGAAGACGCTGGTGGTAGAAAAAGGGCGTCCATAGAAGCGTTTCTTGCTTGTACGAGACCAATGACAAAGTGGATGTGGATTAATTAGGTGTGAACCATGCCGCCAACCTATGTCATGCTCTTTACACGCTAGATGTGAAGGATGCATTTGCAAGTTGATGGGTCAGCCTGCAGATGAGAAAGCCACGATCATCACAGAGAATGGCAAGTACAAGTTGAACAAGAATCTGCCAGGGCCCAACCAAAAAAACACACCAAACATCGTCCCCTTCAAGTTCAATCCTCCGTGAAGAGGACTCCAAGCGCAGGATCCCCTCTGCGACAGGCCAGATCTTCCATGTCGTCACCTTCCAAATCCACAGTCTCCGGCAACCCTCGGAACACGCACAAAGACTGAACCTGAAAAACAGCTTGGTCTCCTCCAACCGTCTCTGGACACTCCAGAAACCCTTCCTGGTTCCTTCCACGCAAGCAAGACACAAGATCTGCCTCAGATCCCTCAAAAACCTCTGAAAAAACATCCGAATCCGCATCCCGACCTTTGGAAAAGAACTTAGAATTCAAATTTAGAAAGACGAGTTCGATCCAACCTCCGAGCTGCATTGCGCACGCAGTTGGAACAAAAAGGTGGATCTTCTTAGCAGTGCGAAACTTTGGACAACGGACTCAAACATGCACAAAAAATGTTCAAGAAAGATTCACTCTGCAAAAGCAACAAAGAGTTCTTTTTTGCGCGAGTCGAGCCGCCAATCATGCAGGAAGTGCACAGGTCAGCTTGCGCAGTATTTGGAAGAGTCTCCTCAGTGAAAAAGGGCCAAAACAAAACCAAAGGACACAAAAACAACAACAAGAACACGGGGCAGGAGACTCTTGAAAGTTCTCTTGAATTTACATGCATGGGTGAGACAGAGAGTGAAACAGAGGTTGGGCAATGAATTAGAGCAAAAAGGCCACGAGATTGGCCATCCGAGATGCGGTACGAACTGCTTGCTGGCACGTCATGACACTTGGTCAATAGGCCTGCTTAAGCAGGCTGTGTCATCGAGCACTAATGAGCTGTGTTTTTTGCACACATTTGTGGAATGGCAGTCGAAGAAAGCACTTGAAGAGGCACTGGCAGACTAGTGGCGAAATGTGACAAACTGCGCTTGAGACAAAGTGCATTCAAAGGAACTGGCCCTGGACAAGTTGACAAGCCAGCTCAAACGCGCTCTGCGAGAGGGCACATCATTGTCAACAGTGCGGCCTTTTGTTGTTGTTCGATGTGTTTGATTGTCTCTGAAGTTGAGGTGGGCAGTAGCAAAGGCACATCCAATGGGCAGGAGCATCCGAAGACTCCTGCAGCCTCCCTCCACAGGAGTGAGGGAGGTAATGCCACCCCGCCGCGGTGCACCCGGTAGCGGACAGTTGAGTTGAACATCGTGTTGGCAGCGAGACATTGTGTCCTGTCATGCAGTAAGGCGTGCAGTGCCCATGTAAACCGGCTTGGATGGTGTTTGATTGGGCATGCAACCCAATTGCGGGCAGCTTCACTGCCAGTGCACAGGGGTTCCCTTCTGGGGGTCCTTCAGAGGTTCCTGGAACTGCGCCAGTGGCTCACGACATAGACCTGAGCAAATCGGAGTGTACAAGCTAGGAATGCCACAGGCGAGTCCGGCAGTGAGGGCAGTGAGAGCGGTAACCCTAAACCCTGAACCCTCCTGTTCCTTCGGCTTGTGAGTGTGATTGACGCAGGATAAAAGTAGGTGTGAGTCCAACTGATTTGCGGTAAGTCATGGCAGCTTTCAAACCCAAAAGCGCTTGCGCCATAGTTGCATGGGATTTTTTTTGCACGAGTGGAGGCGCTGTGTGTGCAGGTTGTGCACAAGTCACCTTAGTCGAGTGAATATAGAGCTACCAGCCAGGTTGCGACCCAACAGAGAAAGGAAGAAACACAAACAAGCCCCCAAACACACAAACCCAACAAACACCCAAAAACCACCAGAAAGGGAGCAACCTGTAGAGTAACTCGAAGTGCCATGAAGGCATGAAGAGAGGTGAAGCAGGGGCAGTGAATTCAGCAAAGCACTCAGAAGTTCTTGTCCATCGACGAACTGGCAAACGAGTGAGCAAGAGCAGGCACATCAATGCAAGATCTGCTGCCCACAGAAGTAAACATCAAACTTCTGCGGTTGATTTATTGCAAGGATCTTGCTTGGACAGGCTTTGCATCAGAGCACGAAAGAGTCCCATGACCGACATCAATGTGCGCTTACATGCATGGTCCAAAAGATTTCATCTTGGACTCGTTTTAAGTCAGATAGCCTGCTTGACGGCTGGCAGCCACGAGCCTCGTGCAAGCCAAAGAGTGACTATCTGGGAAGACCACAGTCCCCATGCTCGGAATGTCCAACATACCGATAGTGAAGACCGTGTAATGCCACTGGCGAGCTTTCAAAAAGAGGCTAAGGGAGTTGCTTCTCCCGTACCTCCCCCCGAGGGGGAGGCATCAAAGGCAGCACGTCAAACACTCCACTCCAGAAACGGCTCATCACTGAGAGCAAAGCAAGACATGCTGCATGGACGGCGAATGAAGGCGGGGGAAAGGCAAAATCCTTGAAGTGTGCTGCAAAAATGTCGCAATTGGAAATCTGACTACATCTTTCAAACGCAGCCAGGTATGATGAGGCCGATACATGCAGGGCCCCGTGAACTACTCGAAAATAGGTGAGACAGAGTGAAACGCCGTTTTCCTAATTCTGTACACTGTACCCATCCAGAACCACTACGCGGGTAGCAGGCTGGGCACTGTCTAGCTACTCAGGCCAACGAAAGCGAAGAGCAAAACGAAATTGATTGGCACTCTTAGGACCAACACACGGGCGCTAGTCTAAGAGGCTAGCAAGCAAGTGTTGACGTATATTTGTGGCCGTGTGTGGCAATTGGTCCTATTACGCTCCAGGTCCTAGTTATCAGCGCTTTCTCGAAGGTACTCCTGGATGTTTCTTTGGTGGGCAACTTGCTCGTTTGGATACTCAGCGAGGATGGCCTCTGACGTAGGCAGGGCCAGCACACGGGCGCCAGCAAAAAGGCATGGCAGTAGTAGCGTTACCACATGTAGCTCCGTGTACCCCTAGTTGAGGACTCCGAAAGAGTCATCGGCCCATTGATCCTCGTCTTTTGGATTGCGTGGTATCCATCAAAACCACTTTGGCATATCAAGATTATCGCACCGCAGAAAGGCATTGGCACGAGAGTATGTGCCTCGCCAAGTCATTCGTGTGCCAGTTCTTTGGAATCGATTGAGCTGCGTGCATCCTGCAAAGGCCCGCCTCGCAATATAGAGCAGGGTGGGTGGCACGCTGACTTCCGTCAAGGAGACACACTTGAGGAAGGCTTCCTGCTGGATCTTTCGCAGTTTGTTTGGAAGCTTCAGGATTTGCAAGTGCTGACAATGTGCAAAGGCACAGTTCATAATTTCTGTGATCTCTGTTCGCGAGAGATCCACCAGTTGCAGCTGCAGGCAGCGTTCACATGCGGCCGGTCCTATCCA